TACTTGACTCAGTTCAGTTGAACTGTAACAACTGGTTCATTTATTTTTTTCTGACTTCTGCCTCATTTTAAAGATGTAATTGTGAACAGTAGTAATATTTGTAAGTGTTTGTTTTAGTCTTTTTTTAAGGTCATTAAACAAAATGTTTAAAATAAATTTTGCAGTTGTATTACAAATGTAATGTTTGACAACTGGATCACTTTAAAGGGATAGTTCACCAAAAAATGGAAATTTGCTGTTATTTTATTGACCCTCAGGCCATCCCAGATGCCATTTTTTTTCTTCAGTAGAACAGCAAAGATTTTTTATCTGAAACGATGATCCTTGGCGATTCATACACTTGGCGATCTGTGGCTGCCGGTTTTTGATTGTTTAACTTCATAAGGCCTCAATGTGTCCTCAGGAGCCATTAGTAATTTGGTCGTCTTTGTTTATTTGACTCTCAAAAGCTGGCAGCCAGAGACGTGCAGTTTATGAATTGCGATGTTTTCAAAGACAATGTTTTCACCTAAAAATGTCCTTTACTGTTCAACTGAAGAAAAAAAAAGTTAACTACATCTTGGATGGCTTGAGGGTGAGTCAATTAACAGCAAATTTTCATTTTTGGGTGAACTATCCCTTTAAGCCTGCATGTTTAGTCTGTATGACAAATGTTATAAATGCAGATTGTTATTAACTAAAGGTTATTATGTGTTGTAATGTGTGTGTTTTAGTGATTGATAGACACCAGGTAATAATTTTCTTAAACTCACAGTTCCACAGCAATTTCTTATGATGCCTAAATAACAAATCTTAGTTGAGGTAACATATGAAACACATGGAGTGAATGGTTAAATTTTAATTGACACAATTTGCTGTAGTTTTCTAAATGTTTGACCAATTAAATAATTTTAGTTGAATGGACTATAAAACTATTTCAGTAAAGGTTGAGCCAACTAAAAAAATAACAATTCAGGCAACACTTTGAAGGCAGAAATTGACTGAACGTAAAATTTCTGTGGAACTTGTTACTAAATAATTAGTTGAAACGGCTTGAACTTTTTTACAGTGTAATGTATTACATATTATTTACAGTGGCGGCTGGTGGAAAATTTTCTAGGTAGGACGCCACATTCAACAATTTTAACATACATCCCAGTATGATTTATCCCAGTATAACAAAAGGAAAAGTATTAAGACTTTAAACATTTTAAAGATAATAGTTTTACCAAGTTCAAGATTGAGGATGATTCCCACAAAACCTTTTTTTTTCTGCAAGCTTTTTCAAGAGAAATTAATTCTAGTGTTCTTTAGCATTGCTGGTGCCATGCCATGAACCCTACTCACACAGCAAACAGAACCGAACCGTGGATCCAAAACAGTGATATGAACCGAACCGTGGCATTGTAAACACTAAAACATGCACAAACCAACCAGTTGCACCATAGGAGTACATTAGTACACCGAGCATCCACCCTATTGAAACATTCATTCAGAACTAGGTCAAAATAGCCTTTATTTGGTGAGTTCAATGTTTTGTCACATATTAGGGTTAACCTGTTTATAACCTGCATGATAAATTCAGGCTATTAACGGCATTTCAAAATAAGCTGTAATTGAAGCAACAGTTTGGGGTTTAAGTAGTAGTTCTCGTAAAAATATTACTAATGCTAATAAGGTTAAAAAAAAATCACTAAATGGTCATGTTCAGATTTGATTTATCACACAAACCCATAATGCTCTTTTAAACTGGGGAATCCCAGAAAACCTACTTTATTGGTTGATTTTAATACGAAAACTCGTTGATTTTAATACGAAAACTCTAATCAGAAGTGAATTTAGCCAATGTTCGAGTATAACATTGCTTGGTCTTCCTTTTTTATTTTGGTACACAAATGTAGAGCATTTTTAAAATCTGATCCTGCATGAAAATAAGTTCTTAACAAGTAAAGAAAACACTGGGGCTTATTTGAGGCGTTCTGACACTTAACCCAAATGCATAAGCAAATATTACTGAAATATTTTGAACTAGAGAAAGCCCGCAGAACCTCTTTGCATTATAAAGAGTGGCGTAAAACACCACTTAAGATGCAATTTGAAAGACTGAATGATATACTTTAAAGAAACTGTAGAGAATGTTCTAGAAAACTCACGGTCAACTACTGCGTTTATTCTGTGTTGGGAGAAAATGGGGATGATAATTCTCAGTAGCGTACATCTCTGTAAATCTAGGGGCCATTTCCATGATTAAATCTAAATAATCAACAATATACAAGAATTTCCTACGAAACATGTTAAAAGAGATGTTTAAAATTAGCGATCATCATGGAATTTACGTTCACTCACACAAAGAGCTTTGTTTTCATTCTTCCTATTTTCATTTGTCAAACAAACGTATTTCATAGCAATATCGGCTCCTAAGCCGCCTTTGTTACTGACTTTACAGTGGTTTTGCCAATTCGAGGCTTGGTAAAGGGCTGAAAGTAGCCTGTTTTTTAGACATACCGTGCAACCCAACAATTGCAGTTAAAGTAAAGAGGTTATATGAAATAATCTGTCGCCGTCACTGAAATCCTCCAGCTCCTCCTTAATGTGTCCTTTTTGTTTTGCAGAAATCAAAGAGCACAAATATAAGAAGAGGGAACAACATAATAATAATAATAATAATAATAATAATAATATACATGATAAATTACAATCCATCTTTGTTTTAAATGAACTGTCACTTCCAAAAGTAATTTTTGAAAGTTTTGTGTAATAATGCAATGATTCATTTTCTCATTACAAAAGGGTCAAACAGCATTCATCACTGAAACGCCCTGTACAATTTCCAACTTCTTTGTCTTAAGCTAGCCTCTAACCAAATTGTGACGCTTTCAAACTTGAGAAAGAAAAATAAACAACAAGTTAGTAAGGGCCTCAAGCTAACACCAGAAACTCAGACTGGATGTCCTTGCGGCGTCCTGCTTCAAGACGGAGGCTGCAGCTGCGCTGTACTTCTCCAGCTCAACTAGAGTGACACGTGGAAAGGAGAGGAGAAGGAGGGAAAGCGGGTGGGATAGAGGGAGGGAGGGAGGGAGGGAGGATATCGTTTGGGAGTCGGGAGGAAGGGAGTAGAGCGAGGGGAAGAGGATCAGAGGAGTAGGAGGGGTCTGGGGCTACACACTTGTCTGATATTGTTAGTCCACTGGCCGCTTTTCGCCGTGTTTCTTTGTAAACTCTTCTGCATTCAACAGAAATCCCTTTTCAAAAACTACAACCAACGACTCGTTTGGACTACAACGCATATTTTCCGGGATTTGTGACATCACAAAGATCGACGAATGGGACGAGTCCTGGTTGAGCTGCGCTAGAGAAGGCAACGAGTGTTATCACTATGTCGGAGACGCGCTAGTTTTCCCAAGGCAGGTGAACTTAGAGTGGTTACAATCATCCGGGTGTAAATCGCGCTCATATTGATTTGATTTTGAGCAATATTTACACTGAAGCTCACAAGCGGCTATGGTAAGGGGCATGAGATTTCCCGACCAGGCGCCGAGTGCTCACGCCCCCCTAAAACGGCTCGTTCTAACACGCCCCCACATATCTACCTCACTATGGAAATATTAGCATAATGCCGCCCAAATGTGCAAGCAAAGAAAGAAGGTGTAACTTTAATTCTTGCTGTAGTATTGTTGCCGCCGATGCCACGTTGTGGAGTTGCTGTGCATTTCGTTGTGAAAGCGAGGCGTGGTTTCAGTAACTGCAGTTAGTGTTGAAGCAGCCATGTCAGGGAGACGCTGTGTGTTTCTAGGCGAAAGCAAAAGCACTTTATTTGAAGTATATCACAGTTAGGAGATTTATAGCGAGTGGTTCCCTGCATTTTTACAGCAAATCGCGTGATTACAGTACTAAGCCGCTGCAATAGAGCAGCTCTAATGCTATTAAATTAAAGACGATGTAGGCTACCATAGAGAGAGAAAAAAATGAACAGTGAAAGTAACAAAAACTTAACACATTTTAATGGGCATAATTAGGTGTGAAAATAACAGAAGGATATACAGTCAAACCAAAAATTATTCAGAGACCAGATATAATTTTTGATATTTTTTCTCAAATATAGTGGGTGCAGGACACTATAGTTCATTTATGTAAAGCGAGGATAGCAAAATAAACTAAACTGTGATATATTATACCCAAAAATTCTTCATACAGTGGACTACCAGTAAAATTGATACAAATTTGGGAAAAAAATTGAAGTTCAGGTTTGCATGAACCTGGTTGACAGCATGCCCAGGAGACTATATGCTGTCATTAAGGCTAAGGGTCACCAGACAAAGTATTGATAGTTATGTAAATATTGACAGCTGTCTGAATAATTTTTGGTTTATTGTAATCCATTACATACCTTTCTATCAAAGTTATCCGACATTATCAAGCTGAATTTGTTCTGACACAGTTTAACTCCGAGTTCTTGTAATATTTTATTACCATTTTCTAAAGCGAATAAACTGTGATAATGTGAGAAACGTTGAAGGTGTTTAAATAAATTTTGGTTTGACTTATCTATTTGATAAATGAAGTTAACCAACTAACATTATACATACTTTTTTGGTTTCTGTACCCAATATTTAAAACATTTACAAACGCAAAGAAAATATTGGTATCGGTACTCGGTATCGGCAAGTACCAAAAATAAAAGTATCGGTATCGGGCAAGTACTGGAAAAAGTGGTATCGGTGCATCCCTAGTTGTAATAATGTAAAATATGTGAAAAATAATGTGTTTTTCGAACAACCTAGTATGAGAGCCTGTTCTAGTACATCCCCAAAACAAAATCAAGACTTTGTAAAAGAGCACAATAGGACCCCTTTAATCAAAGTCACGTTTGGGTAGTCAATATGAGAAATAAAGGGTGTTGCCTACTATATACACAGATGGACAGTAAATACAAACATCATCACATAGCCATATATTTGTTCATGATTTCTATATCATGAAGTGACAAGACCGAGTGCGTTTATGCACCAGGATCAACCGAGCTTTAGCAGTCTGACTCATGTGGCGGTTTCAGGCATATTGCAACAACTGCAGCGCGTCTCACCTTGATCAGTTTTGGTGGCTGGTTTCCAGTTCTCTGCACTAATGACAGGCAGGCAGACCTGTCCCTTCTCGTCAATGTTGGGGTGGTAGATCTTCGTTTTGAACGTGATCTTGGGTGGCTTGAAAGGGTATTCTGCAGGGAAGATAATCTCGATCCTGAACGCCCCTTTGTCGTATGGAGGGTTGTCCTGTGGGAGAATAAGGTAAAAGAGGTGAGCACAGCTCAGTCTATAATGTATATAATTACAAACAAATCAATGTTGCAATCAGGACAAAAGCGTGAATGCATGAGGTATGAGATCACATATAGCTGATGCATGGATATAGTGTAGGTATAAATGCAGTCTAGCTCTAAAATCCACAAGAAATCTGTTCAAAATTTAAGCAATGTTTTAGTACAGAGGTGCCCAAATAGTTTACTACAAAGTGCCAAAAATCTAACTTGAATGAAAGCTTTTTGATCGAAAGTAAATGTTGCACTTTATTCAACTGCGATATATTAAAACATACAACTTTGAAAAAAAATCTAATTCACCTATATTTGCAAAAATGCAAATTACAATGCTAAAATAACTGTAAAAATGTTTCAAAAAATGTGAAATTAAGATATGCTTCAACAGAATTGTAAAATAAAATAGGTCGCCGGTTAGGGCATCTCTGTTTTAGTGTAATTACAGCATTTCAGGTGCAAATATATATTATATCAGAATTTTGTTTCCAAATCCTAAAGCTGCTAAAACATACCATTTCTTGTCTGTATACTTTACGCATATGCAAATAACAAGTAAACAATTCATGAAAGATGCATGTGCATTTACTAAACACTTACTGGAACAATGAGGCCTTGCCATGTCAATATGTTTGATTCATCAACTTGAATGTTACGGAAGTTTTTCATCCCAGATTTGCGGATTTCTTCAAGCTCCTGATAAAAAGGGTTAGAAACAAGGATGCATTAGATACTATTTCTGGGTTCGCAACTTCTGCTTGTCCAATAGAAACTTTGAGATTTAGCTTATGCTAAAACAATCTCTCCTAATAGCACAATGGCCATTAATTAGGTAATTAATTACAAAGCGCAAACAAATGAATTAGGAATAACAGTTTACATCATTGGCCAAGACCTTCTATGTATCTTTATCATGGACAAGACATCATTCCCAAATGTAACGTGAGCCAAGTCTTGACCTAATGAGTTGGAGAAATGACCCCTTGCTCAGCAGCTTACTGTAAATAACTGACCTGAAGTAAGTGTGGATTAAAACCACAACAAACCACAACTTAAATGTCTGAAGTGCATGCAGCTTCATATTCAATAACTGCTCTAACATGTGCCGTTTATGATTAATATTTAGTCTCGCATAGGAACGATGCAATGAATGATTAAGTAATTTAGCTTATGCTAAAACAATCTCTCCTAATAGCACAATGGCCATTAATTAGGTAATTAATTACAAAGCGCAAACAAATGAATTAGGAATAACAGTTTACATCATTGGCCAAGACCTTCTATGTATCTTTATCATGGACAAGACATCATTCCCAAATGTAACGCGAGCCAAGTCTTGACCTAATGAGTTGGAGAAATGACCCCTTGCTCAGCAGCTTACTGTAAATAACTGACCTGAAGTAAGTGTGGATTAAAACCACAACAAACCACACCTTAAATGTCTGAAGTGCATGCAGCTTCATATTCAATAACTGCTCTAACATGTGCGGTTTATGATTAATATTTAGTCTCGCATAGGAATGATGCAACTAATGATTAAGTGATACTTGATTAATCGGTCAATTATTCCTTTGATTAATCAGATAAAAAGACCATTTTAAAGTTATTATCTGAATTTTATAATCAAATTTGTTGACTATTTTCATTATCGATTCATTGTTGCAATTGTTAAATCAAACATCAGCAACTACGTTCACTATAGTATAGTAAAAGGGTGTTTTAGTGCCCTGCAAGGATAACCCATTTCTATTGCCAATGAGAGCTGTCTGACATTTACAGCCATTCTTATCGAACAAGGAAGTAAACTCGATAAAATGATCACTGTGACATACAATACGTCCACTATCTGTGCATAAACACCCTAAAAGCTCAAATATAAGACAATTCAGAGAGGTTAACCTCCAAACCACTATAGTATAGTAAAAGGGTGTTTTAGTGCCCTGCAAGGATAACCCATTTCCTTCTATTGCCAATGTCTGACATTTACAGCCATTCTTATCGAACAAGGAAGTAAACTCGATAAAATGATCACTGTGACATACAATACGTCCACTAACTGTGCATAAACACCCTAAAAGCTCAAATATAAGACAATTCAGAGAGGTTAACCTCCAAAGAGGATTGGTCAGACACATCTAGGTTGCTAAATACAGGTTATTCACGAGTTGTGAATGAAGCGACTTCGACAAGACGGAAGTTTATAAAGCGAAAGCTTGTTGTGAACACTTACGGTTTCGTTTTATTGTAGTTTGTATTATTAACGGCGTTACAACAGCTAACCACCTGGAACTGACGAAACCGTCTCATTTAAGCAGTATTCTACTTATTTGTGTTATTTCAAGCTTAAAATGTAAAAAGACAGATGTGTATATTTGACAGATATTGCTGGTTTGGAGTCTTTGAGTCATGTCTAACGTAACTGCAGCGGGGTTAAAACAGCATTATTCGCTTAAAAACATCGATTAGTTCTTATAAGAGTCGATTAATTTATAGTTATTGTATTCAGATGATTCAGTCTTGTTTGAATCAACCGAATCCGCCGTGACGGAACTCGTCGCGTTAGACTCCTGTGCGTTATATTCCTGTCACTTACTCGCTGTCAATGAATGAAAGTACTCGATAAAACACCGAAGCCTGCTCTAACGTGTCTTTTGACCCTCTATCTCTCCGATCTCGACCCCAAAACCCTGTTCAAGAGTCCCGCGGCCTCCACCGGCGCTTTTCCTCCTTCATGTTTGGAAACGCGAAGCGAGCCGAGTCATCGAGTGAGAGAACCGCTCGTACCAACGCCGATCAAGCGCCAGTGAGCAATCAAATCGCCTTTTCTGCCAGCTAAACCTTATGTTGAAACCCCCGTCGCGTCGTCGTACGTGGTTTTTCTTTTTGCGATATAAAAAGTATGAGGTTTGGACGTCTACCTTGTGTAGTCTCCTGCTCGCCGCCATCTTGAATCTTTCAACTACTACCAGAATGCACCGCGCGGCGCAGCTATGGACTCGCGAGCTCGTCCGCGTTTTTAAAACTTCGGATGATCAGATCTGGGATCAGATTTAATATTCGCGCACAGCCGACGCAACAGGCGAGACGGGAGCTCGTACAATGATCTCAGGTCAGAACCCTTGGGTACTTTCCATTACAAAACGAAACAAAAATGCCATTTATTACACTGTGGATGGAATTGATTCTCCCGTGATTAATCAAGCCATAACATAATCAGCCTTTATTATTTAACGTTACGTATCTCGAAAATGTATTAAACTAAATTAACGAATAAATATAACGGTTTCAGTAAACTTCGGAATGTAGGTGTGCCGAGAGAGACATACAACATGCAATGAACGTCCTTGACAAGAAGTGCGTTTTCCGGATTTCTAGCTGCGTACTAGTTAATGCCCACACGATGTCTCTCCAGAGTAAGGAATAGTGCTAAGTGGATATTTGATGCAGAGGTTAATTTAATTTAAGTGAAATTTGAATTATTTAGGACATATATTACATAAACGATGGCCCTGCCTTAAAGCTGTTCTAAAAATCAATCAACAGACCAGTCTGACTAGGCTGAGAAACTAGCCAAGACCAGCAAACCACCTTACACTCTTAAAAATAAAGGTGCTTCAAAAGGTTCTTCAAGCGATGCCATAGAAGAACCATTTTTAGTTCCACAAAGAACCATTCAGTCAAAGGTTCTTTAAAGAACCATCTCTTTCTTACCTTTTTGTAATCTGAAGAACCTTTTTTCGCCACAAAGAACCTTTTGTGAAACAGAAAGGTTCTTCAGATGTTAAAGGTTCTTTATGGAACCATTTAGACAAAAAGGTTCTTCTATGGCATCGTGAAGCACCTTTATTTTTAAGAGTGTAGGCCGGTTTAGCTGATAGGGCTTTAGTAGCTACATCAATGAGAATGAGTTCAAACAGCTGATAAAAACATCACAAGTCATCCACACGACTCCAGTCCATCAATTAACCTCTTGCGCGTGTTTTAAATAAACAAATCCATCAAATCCAGGACAACAGGGGCCTTTTTCACTGGAGGAACTGTTGGGTAATGGGCTCTTATTTTTGTCAGAAGTGCCGGTTTGAAATTAAAACTCCTTATGATGGCTTTTAACTTCACAAGATGTTAACTGATGGACTGGAGTGGTGTGGATTACTTGTGGATTATTGTGAAGTTTTTAGCAGCTGTTTGGACTCTCATTCTGGCGGCACCCGTTCACTGCAGAGGATCCATTGGTGAGCAAGTGATGTAATGCTAAATTTCTCCAAATCTGTTCTTATGAAGAAACAAAGTAATCCTATGACCTGACGGTTTTGTTTCAGCAACTGTAAATTTTTGGGTGAACCATTCCTTTAATATACAGTGCCGCTTGAAAGTTTGTGAACTCTTTTAGAATTTTCTATATTTCTACATAATTGACCCAAAACATAATCAGACTTTCGGCACAAGTCCTGAAAGTAGACAAAGAGAACCCAATCAAACAAGTGAGACAAAAATATGTTCTTTGTCATTTATTTATTCAGGAAAATGATACATTATTACATATCGGTGAGTGGCAAAAGTATGTGAATCTCTAGGATTGGCAGTTAATTTGAAGGTGAAATTAGAGTCCATCTGTTTTTCAGAGTTGTTTTCAATCAGTGAAATTACTATCGGGTGACAGTGTGTGCCCTGTTTTATTTAAAGAACAGGGATCTATCGAAGTCTGATCATGTTTGTGGAAGTGTATCATGGCATGAACAAAGGAGATCTCTGAGGACCTCAGAAAAAGAGTTGCTGTTGCTCATCAGGCTGGAAAAGGTTACAAAAACATCTCTAAAGAGTTTTGACTCCACAAATTCACAGTCAGACAGATTGTGTACAAATGGAGGAAATTCAAGACCACTGTTACCCTCCCCAGGAGTGATTGACCAACAAAGATAACTCCAAAAGCATAAGCACAAAAGTGTAATAGTCTGCAAGGTTGCAAAGGAACCCAGGGTAACTTCTAAGCAACTAAAGGCCTTTCTCACATTGGCTAATGTTAATGTTCATGAGCCCACCATCAGGAGAACACTGAACAACCACGGTGGGCATGGTGCATCCAAAAAGAACATCGCTGCTAGTCTGCAGTTTGTTAAAGATCATGCTGACAAGCCAGAGGCATACTGGAGAAATGTTTTGTGGACAGATGAGACCAAAATAGAACTTTTTGGTTTAAATGAGAAGCGTTATGTTTGAAGAAAAAACACACTGTATTCCAGCATAAGAACCTCATCCCATCTGTGAAAGACGGTGGTGCTGGTATCATGGTTTGAGCCTGTTTTGCTGCATCTGGTCCAGGACAGCTTGCCATCATTGATGGAACAATGAATTATAATTATGTCAGGACATCTGTCAGTGAACTAATTCACAAGAGAAAGTGGGTCATGCAGCAAGACAACGACCCCAAGCACACAAGTTGTTCTACCAAAGAATGGTTAAAGAAGAACAAAGCAAATGTTTCGTAATGGTCAAATCAAAGTCCGGACCTTAATCCAATTGAAATTTTGTGGAAGGAGCTGAAGCAAGTAGTTCATATGAGGAAACCCACCAACATCACAGAGCTGAAGCGGTTCTGTACTGAGGAATGGGCTAAAACTCCTTCAAGATGTTGTGCAGGAATGATCAGCAGTTACAAGAAACGTTACTTGCAGTTATTGTTGCAAAAGGGGGTCACACCAGATACTGAATGCAAAGATTCACATACTTTTGCCACTCATAGATATGTAACAATGGATAATTTTTCTCAATAAATAGGCCTACACGGCAAAGAAAACATTTTTGTCTCATTTTTATTTGTTTGGGTTGTCTTTGTCTACTTTCAGGACTTGTGAAATTTTAATTATGTTTTGAGTCATATTTATGCAGAAATATAGAAAATTCTAAAGGGTTCACAAACTTTCAAGCAGCACTGTATGAGGTATAATTTTTATAATTTATATCATTTTTGAGGTATAATGACATTAAGCTATATTTCAGTTTACCATAAGTGCTTGTCAGTACATATGACAGTATACACTGTCTTTAACCATATTTCAAAGGCAGAAGTAATTATGAAAGTACATATAAAAATGTAATTAAGTCCTACTTAAGTATGTCAACAAAAAGTCTTAAGTAATTGCATTAAATATAAATTTAAACTATAAAACATTTTCATTTAATTTTAAATAACATGCAGTTAGATGTATGAAAATATTACATTTAGTTTGCACTTAAGTATTTTCTTCTAAAGTACATTTTTTCATAATAAAGTGCACTTCTTTTTCACAAGGGTACCATCACTGTACTGTCCCTGTCAAAAAAACTAAACGAAAACAACAACTCAAACCAGCCTTAGATGGTTTGTTGGTCTCCTCACCTGGTGTGCGTTTCCCAAAAGCATTGTTAGCCAATGGCCGCAAGTTCTTTTAACAACGGAACTTGTGACCACAGTTACTTTTAGGATGAGCACCCCCTGGTAAGGCCGGTATAGTGGCTGGTTTTAGAAAGATTTAAAAGTTTTGCTTTTGCATGCCAAATATGCTGTCAGTGAAAGACAATGGGAAATATTTTACATTTCAATCATATGTATCTTAAAACATCTAGAGTTTGACAAAAATCCAAATATAGATAGAGCTGAAATGATCTACAAAAGTAAGTTTGAGTGGAGTCTGTGTGGGCTGTTTGAGTGCTTGTGAAATTGTGTATGCATTTGCGGTTTTGTCAGTTTGTTTAATCTTTTCTTGTCACAAGAGCCCATACTACATTGCTAACATGCTTCCAGATATAATGACAGATATAAAGTAAGCTTACATGCTCCCATGGTTTCCTGAAAACCACATGACTGAAACAACTTGTTCAGACTTGCTTCCCCTCCAGCAATTTCAGGTAAAGATGGGCTGTTACAGATGGGAAACACAAACTGTCTTGTTTCCACTTTAGCTTTAAAAAATATTCACTAGTTTTACTTAATACATTAATCCATGATTATTATGTCAAATTAATGCTTTACATTTCAAGGTGAGTCACTTTAGTGAGAGACTTTGACTTGAATGACTCCAATAACAGGGCATGAACATGTAAACATGGGTATGCAATTGCATTGAAAACACCTGTCAAAATATATAATTGAAGCATATGATCTAACCTAAATATCACTTTTTGTAATCTGAAGAACCTTTTTTCGCCACAAAGAACCTTTTGTGAAACAGAAAGGTTCTTCAGATGTTAAAGGTTCTTTATGGAACCATTTAGACAAAAAGGTTCTTCTATGGCATCGTGAAGCACCTTTATTTTTAAGAGTGTAGGCCGGTTTAGCTGATAGGGCTTTAGTAGCTACATCAATGAGAATGAGTTCAAACAGCTGATAAAAACATCACAAGTCATCCACACGACTCCAGTCCATCAATTAACCTCTTGCGCGTGTTTTAAATAAACAAATCCATCAAATCCAGGACAACAGGGGCCTTTTTCACTGGAGGAACTGTTGGGTAATGGGCTCTTATTTTTGTCAGAAGTGCCGGTTTGAAATTAAAACTCCTTATGATGGCTTTTAACTTCACAAGATGTTAACTGATGGACTGGAGTGGTGTGGATTACTTGTGGATTATTGTGAAGTTTTTAGCAGCTGTTTGGACTCTCATTCTGGCGGCACCCGTTCACTGCAGAGGATCCATTGGTGAGCAAGTGATGTAATGCTAAATTTCTCCAAATCTGTTCTTATGAAGAAACAAAGTAATCCTATGACCTGACGGTTTTGTTTCAGCAACTGTAAATTTTTGGGTGAACCATTCCTTTAATATACAGTGCCGCTTGAAAGTTTGTGAACTCTTTTAGAATTTTCTATATTTCTACATAATTGACCCAAAACATAATCAGACTTTCGGCACAAGTCCTGAAAGTAGACAAAGAGAACCCAATCAAACAAGTGAGACAAAAATATGTTCTTTGTCATTTATTTATTCAGGAAAATGATACAATATTACATATCGGTGAGTGGC